TTTAGGGTTTAGGGCTAGGGTTTAGGGTTCAGGGTTCAGGGTTCAGGGTTCAGGGTTTAGGGTTTAGGGTCGGTATCAAAATAGGATTGTTGCAAGGGGGATCAGGGCTGCATTTAGGGTTTAGGGATCAGGGTTCAGGCTTTGGCCATGGAAATGTTGTGACAACCCTAAACCCTAAACCCTAAACCCTAAACCCTAAACCCTAAACCCTCAACCCTAAACCCTAAACCCTAAACCCTAAACCCAAAAAGAGGTGCCCCCGGAGAACAAGGATTCCCAAAAGGTGAGGGTCAACCTGCTAAGGTGGGCCTTCCTTTTGGAAACCTTGCGGGCCCTGTTCGGGTGCAAGTGTGGCCTTTCAGACCCTCAAGACTCAACCTTCAGCCCTGAGTCCTCAACCCTTGACCCTTGACCCTAAGCCCGAAACCCTAAACCCCAAACCCTAAACCCTTAACCCTTAACCCTTAACCCTTAACCCTTAACCCTAAACCCTAAACCCTAAACCCTAAACCCCAGATACTGGATTCGCAAGCTGGACGGCGCAGCCTCACGCATGGAGCGCACGCAGGACAGCCTCGGTCCGAACCCGCATCTCACCTTGAACCCTGTGGTTGGGGTTTAGGGTTTAGGGTTTAGGGTTTAGGGTTTAGGGTTTAGGGTTTAGGGTTTGTAGGGTTTGTAGGGTTTGTAGGGTTTGTAGGGTTTATAGGGTTTATAGGGTTTAGAGGGTTTAGAGGGTTTATAGGGTTTATAGGGCTTATAGGGCTTATAGGGCTTATAGGGCTTATAGGGCTTATAGGGCTTACAGGGTTTAGGGTTTATGGGGTTTATAGGGCTTATAGGGTTTATAGGGTTTATCGGGTTTATAGGGTTTATCGGGTTTATAGGGCTTACAGGGTTTATAGGGCTTACAGGGTTTATAGGGTTTATAGGGTTTATAGGGCTTATAGGGCTTATAGGGCTTATAGGGTTTATAGGGTTTATAGGGTTTATAGGGTTTATAGGATTTATAGGATGTATAGGGTTTAGGGTTTAGGGTGTAGGAAATTGGGGTCAGATTCCCAATACGATTATAATCCCTATGATTAGGGGTTGAGGCTTAGGGTGTTTTTGTGAAACTGCCTTGGGGACTACAAGAACTGTAAAAGTGTTTATGGCCCAAAATAGACCACATGATGTGTCATATCCTAGACATTCAGGATTTGCGCTTGGGGGCTAGAGGTGTGGGCACCCTAAACCCTAAACCCTACACCCTAAACTACCCTAAACCCTAAACCCCAAAACCTAAACCCTAAACCCTAAACCCTAAACCCTAAACCACCCAAACCCTAAATCCTAGGTTTCGGGTTCGAAGCCTCAGGAGCAGTTGGAGAAAGCCCTGGAGAGCGCGGATATGCGCGTGGCCTTGGCCTTGGATTCAGGGCTCTGGGAAGTCAGGGCTTAGGGTTTAGGGTTTAGGGTTTGGGGTTTGAGGTTTAGGGTTTAGGGTTTAGGGTTTAGGGTTTAGGGTTTAGGGTGGCCCTAAACCCTAAACTCCATGGGACAAGCAGGGTGATACTCTTTCTAGGCTTCATGGACAGTGAACAGTGAACACAATCCGTAGTCAGGTTGGCGGCTTGAAAGAACACAGCGTCTGGGGTTCGGGCTTTAGCCCGGAGGCCCAAAGCCAGCGAAACTCTACTCTTAGTCGTCGGTTTGGGTTCGCGGCATGGGTTTGGGGAAACAGAGGACGCCGAACCCTAAACTCCTAGAGAACTGCGTCGACCCTGAACCCGCACCCGATGGACCCTGAACCGGAGCCCCCAAAAGACCTGAAGACCCCGAACCCTAGACCCTGCAGAGTTTAGGCATTGCTTAGGGATACGTGGGAATATTTCATAAATTTTGGGTACTATAATTCCTCAGAAACAGCTAGCATTATAATTTTCGCTAGGGTTGCAAGTTCAGTATAGCTCAGGGTTCCCCTGCCAACCGTAACCGCAACCAGCAAGCCCTTGTAGACCCTAAACCCTAAAGCCTAAACCCTAGACCCTGAGTCCTAAACCCTAAACCTCAGACCCAAAGCCTTGCACAAACTGGGAGGCCTTGATCCCAAGCGATGCTGCCGAGCAGGAATCTTGTCTCTGTAGCCGTTTCTGGTTCCTTCTTTTTCGTACCCTTGAGGTTTAGGGTTTAGGGTTTAGGGTTTAGGGTTTAGGGTTCAGATGTACGCTGGAGGGGTTTAGGGTTTAGGGTTTTTGGTTGCGGTGCGATCGTCTCTCTGGGAATTATGTTACACCTCCATTGGTGGTACATATAAACCTACTGCTTAAACCCTAAACCCTAAACTCTAAACCCTAAACCCTAAACCCTAAACCCTAAACCCTAAACCCTAAACCCTAAACCTGCTTGTTACGGTTCGAAGTGGCCTCAGGGTTGATACCCCCGATTCCCTCATCCCGATCCCTTCAACCCTAACCCCTCAAGTCTCAGCCCCGAACCTAGCACCAGCCCTTTGCCCCTAAACCCTAAACCCTAAACCCTAAACCCTAAACCCTAACCATAAACCCTAAACCCTAAACCTTATACCCTAAACCCTAAACCCTAAACCCTAAATCCTAAACCCTAAACCCTAAACCCTAAACCCGAAGCCTCTAAAGCTCTAAACCCTGATCCCCTGTTAAGTAGCCAAAGCCCTTTTCCCCTGGTTTTTGGATCTGCTGGTGCAGTTTGCAGGTTGCACCTGGACTCTGGCTTATGGCTCCTGCTGTTTGGGTTTAGGGTTTAAGGTTTAGGGACATTTTTCAGGTTTTGGGGTTTCAGCGTTAGGGTGAGGGTTTAGGGTTTCGGGACATTTTTCTACTTTTTTAGGGTTTGGGTTTAGGGCTTTTGGGGGGGTCTTAGCCCACTTCTTGACAGGAGCTGAGCCGAATTCAAGGATTGTTGACGCCGGACTCGCTGGCGGGCTCCTCAAACATGCCATGTGCTGGGCTATATAGGGTTTTAGGGGTTTAAGGGTTTAAGGGTCTTAGGGCTTAAGGGTTTAGGGTTTTAGTGTTTTAGTGTTTTTGCGTTTTAGTGTTTTAGGGCTTTAGGGGTTTCAGGGTTTTAAGGGTTTAAGGGTCTTCGGGCTTTAGGGCTTTAGGGCTTAAGGGTTTAGGGTTTTAGAGTGTTTTTAGTGTTTTGGGGTTTTAGGGGTTTGAGGGTTTTAGGGGGTGTAGGGTCCTGGGTGTAGGGGTGTAGGGTTTAGATTTAAGGGCTTGAGGGTTGAGGGTTGAGGGTTTAGGGTTCGGGGAGTAGATCCCACAAACAGGGCTCAAGCCCCGACACCTACTCCCCCAACGCCTTCCGAGGCCTTTTGTGTGCACCTGCGAATGCGAGGCCCTAAACCCCAAGCCCCAACCCTAAACCCTAACTGGGACTTAAGGGCCTCTCAGATTTCAGGTGCTGATGGAAGCCCTAAAGCCTAAACCCTAAACCCTACCCCTAAACCCAAGACCCCAAACCCCAAACCCTACACCCTGTCTGAGGGCTTAAGGGCCTGCGAGATGTCCCTGTGCTGATGGAAGACTTGAGCTAAGGGGGAACAGCCCAAGGTTTAAACGCCCTAAACCCTAAACCCCAAGCCCTAAACCCTAAACCCTAAACTCGAAACCCTAAACCCTAAACCCTAAACCCTAAACCCTAAACCCCAGAAACTCAGGTGCTGATGGAGGACTTGAGCCTGGGCATGGGCAAAGATGCCCAGCTCATCCCTGCCGGCCTCAAGCTCATGTGCCTGCCTTGGCCTTTGGTTTTTGTTTTTTAGAGTTTAGGGGTTAGGGTTTAGGGTTTGGGGTTTAGGGTTTGGGGTTTAGGGTTTAGGTTTGGGGTTTGGGGTTTGGGGTTTAGGGTTCAGGATTTAGGGCTTGTTTTTTTTTTGTTGTAGGGGTTTAGGTTTAGGGTTTAGGGTTTTTTGTTTTTAGGGTTTAGGGTTTAGGGTTGTTAGGGTTTAGGGTTTTGGGCTTCAGGTCTCATAGGCCATGGTGTTTTTTTTGTTGCCCTTGTTTCATTTTTAAAAGATTTGTAGGAAGCCGCAAAGGGGCCGCAGCCCAAATCCCAAACCACAAAATCTCGCAGCAATGCAATGTAGGGCCTTCTTAGATAAGGATAGAGTGCGCTTGTTAACGCTGGGAATTCTTTCGGGTTCCTGCATGAGACTATGTCCTTGGCTTTGGCAGGACTGGTGTTTTTGTTGCTTTGCCTAGAGGGCCTATAGGATAGTTTTTGGAATGTTTGGTGCTTACGGCGCTCCTTGGGGTTTGACGGGATTGCAAGGTTTATCAATAGGGCGCATTGGTTTGATAGGGTTTCTAGGGCGTTTTCTCTGTTTTGGGAAGTCGCGGGCGCCATCGTGGGTTTGCATTTTGGCAAGTCGGACAGGAGAGGTCAGCGCTGTCCCTTTGTTGTTTAGGTCCGTGTCCGCTTCAGGGATCAGGCGGGCTTGGAATACCTCAACAACATCACCCTAAGGGCCGAAACCCCTAAGCCCTAAGCCTAAACCCTAAGCCCTAAACCCCAAACCCTAAACCCTAAACCTCACCTTCCACCCTAGATCCTGGACCAATTGGGGCAGCTACTTGGTCTGGCTCGAATGGGTCGAGTTGAGGTTCTGGTTCCAGGTGTTGTTATAGGGTCAAGCAAACCTTTCGTCCGTAAGGCTCCACCTGCTACTGATATTCGGTTCGCTCGAGGTAGAGAGAGAGAGAGAGACTGCTTTCCCCAAACCCTACGCTCTAATCTCTACATATATATATATATGTATTTACTTACTTATTTGTTATTAATTTCTTCATCGGTTTATTTTTCTTTATTTTTAATATGCATATATATATATATATATAATTAATTAATACTTGTGTTTTCGCTATTCGCAATCAAATATTTTTATATATACGTACCTAAATATGCTAAGGTAAAAACATCACCAGTACCACGAAGTTGCCCAGAAAGTCATCGAGGCTGAGACGAACCCGCCAAAAATGGCGGTCCTCTACTTGGCCTTTCTGGCCTGCAAGGGCAGATGGGAGAAGTCGATCATAGTCGTCACAGTCAAACCGCACAGCCTCGACAGCAAGGAGATCTACGACTACATAACGCCCGAGGAGTTGATTGCGAAACTGGGAGAGGAGCTCGCGGCCGATCTCATGAAGAGACGCCGTGAGGCGGAAGCAAGCCTTCCACCAGGCAGCAGAGGCAAATACAATCAATTGGGATGTTCCCCCCTTATACTGACAGTCCTTAATAGAGATTATAATACCCCCGACTTCCCTATTAACGACTCTGAGTATAAGGGGGAACATCCCACCATAAACCCTATAAACTCTTGAACCCTAAACCCTATCAACCCTAGTAACCTTATAAACCCTACGAGGCCTATAAAGGCCTTTAAACCGTTTAAACCCTTCAAACCCTTAAAACCCGTTAAAACCCTTTTTAACCCTTTAAACCCTCTAAACCCTTTAAACCCTGCAGACCCTTTTAAACCCTATCAACCCTACAGACCCTTCAAACCCTTTTAAACCCTTTTAAACCCCTCTAAACCCTGTAAACCCTTCAAACCCTTTTTAAGCCCTTTAAGCCCTTTAAACCCTGTAAACCCCGTAAATCCTTTAAACCCTATCAACCCTGTCAACCCTTCAAACCCGTCAAAACCCTTTAACCCCCTTTAAACCCTTCAAACCCTTTTAAAGCCTTTTTAAACTCTTTAAACCGTTTAAACCCTTCAAACCCCTTTAACCTTTTAACAACTTCAAAGCCTTCAAACCCTTTTAAAACCTTCAAACCCTTTAACCCGTTCAAACCCTTTAAACCCTTCGAACCCTTTTTTAAACCCTTGAATCCCTTTTAAACCCTTCACACCCTTCACACCCTTTTTACACTCTTCAAGCCCTTTAAACCCTTTAAACCCTTGAAACCCTTCAAACCCTTTTTAAACCCTTCAAACCCTTTTCAACCCTTTAAAACCCTCTAAGCCTTCCTGCAACTGAGAGCCGGATCGAGGCGCCGACGGGGGCAGGTCGTCGACCGCTTCAAGCGGGATGCCAAGCTCAGGGTTTAGGGTCAAGGGTTTCGGGTTTAGGGTTTAGGGTTTGGGGTTTAGGTTGTAGGGTGTAGGGTTTAGGGTTAGGGTTTCTTGGGCTTGGGCGTTCCAGGGTCAGATGGGAATAGAATGTAGGGTTGTATGGGGCTTGTCCTTGTAGCTAGTGTACACGTATCACAGTTTGGTGGTATAGGGCTTTTTATGGCTTGGGCACGAAAGAAAAGTAATTGTGTAGTCTAGGGTTGCGGCTTTAGAGATCTAGGCCCATTTCAAGTAGGTACACCCCTTATACCCCTCATTCTGGCCCTAGCCTTCTGTGATAAACTCCCTTCCTGAAGATGTCCTCGATCAGGGGGTTGGTCTAGTCCCAGAGTTAAGGGTTTCGGGTTTTGGAAAGTTTCGTATTCCATACAGGTCCCTGAGCCCTGAACCCCAAACTATTCGGGTTTAGGGTTTAGCGTTTCTGGTTTTGCCAGCACGGCTGAGTGTCTATAGGGTATCTATGGGGTCTTTAGGGTCAACAGGGTCTAGGCCTAGCACTTTAGGGATCGGGTATGGGGTTTTGGGGTATAAGTTAAGCCTTTAAACCCTAGAAACCCTAAATTGGTTAAAGTCTTTAGGGTTTAGGATCCTATACACAGAGGCCCTATCAGACTCTAGAAGCCTTGGGTGCTGCGAATGTCAGCGTTAACCTTCTTGGGGCCCGTTTTCTCGCCTTGGAGAAGCATAGCCAGTTATGCCAAGCTTGTTTTGGCTCAGGGTTGTTCAAGTGTTTTTTGGGTGTTTATAAAGCTTTGTTTTATGGCTTTTTAGTGGTGTTTCGGGGGCTTAGGAGCCACCCCCCCCCCCCCCCCCAAAAAAAAAAAAAAAAGTAATAAACAATTAAGAAAAATTAATAACACAAATAAGAATAATTAATAACACAAATAGAAAAACAGAAGACGGTGCTTGAGGCCTGAGATGACGAATGCGGAGGTCCATCGCCGATTGCCGGAGCGCTTCCCTTGGCGTTTAGCAGGGAATGTCTTGCCCTAGGCACTAACCCTAAAAACTAGACCCTAAACCCTACACTCTAGACCCTGAACACCAAACCCGAAGCCCGAAACAGCACATCCTATAGAGCCACAGCAGCCCCATGAAAAGCGCCCCCACTCCCAAAAAAACAAAAAACGAAAATAGGAACAGAACAAGAAGTAAACCCTCAAAGGCCCCAACAACCAATTAGAAAATTCCAAAAGCCCCCGCCCCGCCTGCCCCAAAGAAACCAAAACACAAACTGGAAACAACCCTAAACCCTAAAAGCTAAACCTTAAGCCCTAAACCCCCTAAACCCTAAACCCTAAACCCTAAACCCTAAACCCTAAACCCTAAACCCTAAACCCTAAACCCTAAACCCTAAACCCTAAACCCTAAACCCTAAACCCTAAACCTAAACCCTAAACCCTAAACCCTAGGCTGGCTCCTCAAGATGGATCCGACCTTCGTCTCCTCTTCGGCGCCTTTGCTCAAGGGATGAAGACTCGTACCCCTTTTCAGGGTTTAGGGTTTAGGGTTTAGGGCTAGGGTTTAGGGTTGAGGGTTCAGGGTTGAGGGTTCAGGGTTGAGGGTTCAGGGTTGAGGGTTCAGGGTTGAGGGTTCAGGGTTGAGGGTTTAGGGTTTAGGGTTTAGAGTTTAGGGAGAGTATCTAGTCTGTAAGTTTCAGGGTTTGGGTTGTCGGGAAGCTTCGTCCGAGAAATGAAATCCCGCCTCACGATAGCGCCCCGCCTCAGGAAGAATTTATAGGAACCCGACAGGCGTGGTGGAGAAACCCAAAAGAGCCCCCAAACCCTTGATTAAGGAATATGACTTACATCATACTAGGGATCCCTAGTCTGGTTCAATGTATGTTCCTTGGCATAGATCATACCTCAAAGCCACCCAAATGTCGGCACACCAAGCTGTGTTGGAACATGTTTGGTGGCCTTGCCCTACACTTCAGCTTGCCCATGATTTTGGGTTAACAAAAACCCGAACCTGGGTCTAGATAACCAATATGGGGGTTTCCGAAAATGGATGGGGGGGGGGTACCCTTGTTGGGGTTCTTTAAAAAAGGATTTGTAGTACTTGAGGGTATATAAGGGGTACCCCCCCCCCCCCCCCCCCCCCCCCCCATTTTCGGAAATCCCCATATGACAAGTCCTGCTGTGTTTCAGGGTTGGGGTTTAGGCTTTGTGGGCTTTAGGGTTCTCAACTTTTGGTGGGCTTTTTGGTTCGGGCTTTTCCAAGGAGATATGGGGGTTTACGATTATCAGGGGGACCCCTACTATAGACCTCCAATAGTAGGATGTCGGACGCCCCCATATATGCCTACGTGCTCACACTTCGTGGCAACCTCAGCCCAGGTGGAGATGGCTACAACAAGGCCCGGCAACAGGCCTGGCACTTGGCGGTCAACCGCGGGGGCACTAAACTCACGAAACCCCCAGTGAGCGTTTCCGAAAGTAGGGGTACCTTATTGGGGTCGTTGTTAGAAGGGAATCCTACTTGTTTGGGGTCTGAATGAACACCTGATATACTTCTCGGACTTTAAACCCCTGCCTGGTGTCGTTGTTCACGTTGTTGGCTGGACAGGAAAGCTTCGCAAGCATGTTCACATGTGTGTTGCCTGGACAGATAAGCAGGGTTTGGGGTTTAGGGTTTAGGGTTGCGATGTTCCTAGGATCCCTGAACCCTAAACCCACTCCTCGCCCCCCCCCCCAACCTCAAACACCCTTTTTGCTCACAGAGCGGAGAGTCCCTTCAAGGAAACTCGTCTCCGCATTTCGGCACAGTCTGCCTGCCCCAAACCCATAAACCCATACACTCATAAACCCATAAACCCTAAACCCTAAACCCTAGTCCTAAACCCTAAACCCCTAAAATGCCGTGCCAGGCAGTGGAGGCCATCGGAGAGTTGGGGGCCATCATCCGCAGCTGGGCTTCAGATGAAGCGTCGGAGGTTAGGGTTTAGGGTTTAGGGTTATAGGGTTTCGGGTTTAGGGGTTTAGGGTTTAGGGTTTAGGGGCTATAGGGTTATGTGGCATGGACCTTTATGTATTATTTGACGTTCTCTCTTGTTTTGTATTTAAAAACCTATAAACAAACTAAATCCAAGAAACCTGAAGCACAAATTCACCAATTTCGTTCTCTTAGGGTTTAGGGTTTACGATTTATAATTTACTCTTTTTTGATGTGAACGTACAGACGCAGTCAGATGTTGGCAACGAATACTAGCTATCACTTCTGCTCTTGCGTGGGGGATGATCCAAGCGGTCTCTCGGGTCGGGCTGCGCACCGTTGTGCGCACATTGAAGTGTCCTGTCAGCTGTCGTGCCCAATTGTTGCTTGGTGTGGATCGGCAAAGATCACTGCTACTGAAAGAGGCATCTTCTCATGAAGATGCCCTAACTCTTTCAAGACATCTACATTATCATTCAACGCGTACAGACGTCGGTTCGACAACCTGTAAAACTTCGTACTCTTCTTCACAAACTGAAGTGGACGCGAGTCCTGCAGTGCCCTGAACCGTCTCGTGCAGAAAACACCCCCGCAGAAAATCACTGCCTTTACCGCAAGCATTGGAATCATACAACCGCACAATCCGCTACAGTCCACCTCCGCCACGGACGCACCCATGACCGCAGAAGCCACTGCCCCGCCGATAAGGAGCCGACCAAAAAAAAGCAACGACGGCACCCATTGCAAAAGACCTGCGAAAACGTCTCGCGTAATCAGTGACCATCATACAACAATCGGTGAACAATCTTAAGACACTATTTTTGCGGGCAACCAATAGCAACTGGTCGACCAAGCCGATGCCTGAAGACGGCACGGCTGCGGCGCCTCGGAGCTTGTCTTCCTGACTCGGGAAACTGCTGCGGCCGACGCCAAGTCTCGCCAGCTGTCGTGCACAATTGTTGCTTGGTGTGCGTCGGCAAAGATCACTGCTACTGAAAGAGGCTTCTTCTCATGAAGATGCCCTAACTCTTTCAAGACATCTACATTATCATTCAACGCGTACAGACGTCGGTTCGACAATCTGTCGAACTTCGTACTCTTCTTCACAAACTGAAGTGGACGCGAGTCCTGCAGTGCCCTGAACCGTCTCGTGCAGAAAACACTCCCACAGAAAATCACCTTGAGACACATGCCTTTACCGCAAGCATTGGAATCATGCAGCCGCACAACCCGCTACAGTCCACCTCCGCCACGGACACTCCCATGACCGCAGAAGCCACTGCCCCGCCGAGAAGGAGCCAACAAAAAAAAGCAACGACAGCACCCATTGCAAAAGACCCGCGAAAACTTCTCGGATAATCAGTGACCATCATACAACAATCGGTGAACAATCTTAAGACACTAACTTTGCGGACAACAAATAGCAACTCGTTGACCAAGCCGATGCCTGAAAACGGCACGGCTCCAGCGCCTCGAAGCTTGTCTTCCTCACTGTGTGTTTTTGAGATTTAAAGGAGAACAAGAGAAGAGAAGGGAGAGAGAAAGGAGAGAGGAGAGATCAACAGGAATGCAACTCTAAATGGAAGAGCAATGAAAAGAATGGAAGAGAAATGAGGACAGGCGAAATGCAAAAATCAGGCAAAGAGAAGATGGTGCTCGTTTTCATCTTTCCTCTGGTTCTTATTTTTCTCTTCTCTTGTTCATTTCCGTTAGAAAAAACAAAAGGAATAACAATGAACATGTAAGCAAACCCAGCTGATGCTCATGATTTTTTCCTTTCTCCCTCTCTCTCTCTCTCCATATATGGGCGATGGAACGGGTGTCCTTGTTGGGCCGTTTCCTGCATCTTCAAGTGAGGAACCTAAGTGTTTTCTTTTGTTCGTTTGAAGACACAGAAAGCGATTAAAAGGGACGTCCATTTTGGATTGGCAGCCAACCCAGCTGATGCTCATGATTTTTTTCTCTCTCTCTCTCTCTCTATATATGGGCGATGGAATGGGTGTCCTTTTTGATCGTTTTCTGCATCTTCAAGCGAGGAAAAGGGACACCCCACAAGAAAGCACTTAGGGTGTCCCTTTTGCTCGTTTGAAGACACAGAAGGCGATTAAAAGGGACGCCCGTTTTGGATTGGCAGCCAACCCAGCTGATGCTCATGATTTCTCTCTCTCTCTCTCTCTCCCTATATATGGGCGATGGAACAGGTGTCCTTTAAGATCGTGTTCTGCATCTTCAAGCGAAGAAAAGGGCACCACAAGAAAACACTTAGGGTGTCCCTTTTGCTCGTTTGAAGACACAGCAAGCGATTAAAAGGGGCGCCCATTTTGGATTGGCAGCAAACCCAGCTGATGCTCATGATTTATCTCTCTCCCCATACATGGGCGATGGAACGGGTGTCCTTTTTGGATCGTTTTCTGCATCTTCAAGCGAAGAAAAGTGACACCACAAGAAAACACTTAGTAAGGGTGCCCCTTTTGCTCGTTTCAAGACACAGAAAGCGATTAAAAGGGACGCCCATTTTGGATCGGCAGCAAACCCAGCTGATGCTCATGATTTATCTCTGTCTATATATGGGCGATGGAACGGGTGTCCTTCCTGATCGTTTTCTGCATCTTCAAGGGAGAAAGAAGGGCACCGCCCAAGAAGGAAACGTAACATCAGATATAGGGAGGGAAATTGAAGAGCTCCTCTCTTTACTTAGTCATTCCCTTTCCTCTCTTCTTATCTGTTGTTTTCTTCGCTTCAAAAAGCAAAATACGGGAAAAGAGATTTCCTGAAGAGGAGGGAGGGCACCTATTGAAGAGCTCCTGTCTTTACTTAGTCATTCCCTTTCCTCTCTTATCCGTTGTTTTATTCGCTTCAAAAAGCAAAATAAGCGAAAAGAGATTTCCTGAAGAGGAGGGAGGGCACCTATCTGTAAAGAGCAATCGTTTAGAGGGGAACAGGAGAAGAGGAGCGAGAGAGAAGGACAGAGGAGAGATACAGGGAATCCAATTTCAATAGAACAGCAAAGAAAAGAATAGAAGAGAGATGAATAGAGAAGAGGGAGAGACAAAACAAGGCGCAGAGAAGATGGCGCTCTTCTTTATCTATCCTCCCTCCCTTATCTCTCCCTTCCCTCTTTCTTTTCCAGATAAGAACAACTAAAGAGGAATAATTATGAAAAGGAGAAGAGTAAGGAAAGGAGCAGAAGAGATAGGCCGAGAAGAGGGATATGATGAAGTACGGCAAGGTCCACGCGCAACCTCTGCTTACCCTGCCACTGTTTTATCCTGCAAGTTCCTTTCTTGTTGTTCATCAGTTAAAAAGTAACAGAAAGAGAGAAGGGAAAGGGAAGTGAGAGAGGAGAGAGAACAAGGATGCCATTTTTCTGGAAGGGTGCTGGAAAGAAGAGAAGAGACAGGAAGCAAGGAGACGGAGTGACAAAATAAAGCGCAAAGCTCTATATATATCATCTCTCCCTTGTCTCTCCCTATTCCCTTTTGATGGGACGCCCCAGAACTAAAATATTTAAATCCAGGTATTTGAATAATTAAATTCTTTAAATTATTTAAATGGTTGGGTTTCCAGAGGAACCAATGGGTTTGAATAATTAGATTATTTAGATTATTTTGGCGCCTCCTGTGAGCCAAGTCTGTGATGAAGTATGTCCCTTCTCCCCGCGGGCCAAATTTGTGATGAAGTATGTCCCCTCTCCCCGTGGGCCAAATTTGTGATGAAGCATGTCCCCTCTCCCCGTAGGCCAGGTTTGTGATCCAGCCTCCCACCAGCGTGATGAAGTAGGTTCCCTCTCTTTGTGGCTGAAGTATGTCCCCTCGCCCCGTGGGCCATGTTTGTGATCCAGCCCCCCAGCAGCGTGATGAAGTATATCCCCTCTCCCTGTGGGCCAAGTCTGTGATGAAGTATGTCCCTTCTCCCCATGATGAAGTATATTTGGAAGCTGAGAGTCGTGTTTTGGTGTGGTAGATTGTGGTAGATAGAAAGGAAAGGGCATGAGAAAGTAGCGAGAGGAGCTCTTCAATTCCCTTCCTGCTTTATTGCAACACATGCCCCTCTTGTTCTTCCTTTCTTGTGTTTTTTGTCATTTAGAGGGGAACAGGAGAAGAGGAGCGAGAGAGAAGGAGAGGGGAGAGATAACAGGAATCCAATTTCAATGGAATAGCAAAGAAAAGAATAGAAGAGAGATGAATAGAGAAGAGGGAGAGACAAAACGAGGCGCTGAGAAGATGGCACTCTTCTTTATCTATCCTCCCTCCCTTATCTCTCCCTTCCCTCTTTCTTTTCGAAATAAGAACAACTAAAGAGGAAGAATTTATGAAAAGGAGAAGAGTAAGGAAAAGAGCAGAAGAGATAGGCCGAGAAGAGGGACATGATGAAGTACGGCAAGGTCCAAGCGCAAGGAGTCACCCTCTGCTTTACCTTCCACTGCTTTATCATACCTGTCTTGTGCTTTGTCAGTTAAACGGAAACAGAAGGAGAGAAGGGAAAGGGAAGTGAGAGAGGAGAGACAACAAGGAGGCCATTTTAATTTTCTGGAAGGGTACTGAACAGAAGAGAGGAGACAAGAAACAAGGAGACGGAGGAACACAACAAGGCGCAAAGAAGATGGCACTCTTCTTTGTCTATCATCTCTCCCTTCCTTGTTCCCTTTTCCCTCTATTCTTAAAAAGGACAAGACCTCTTCGCAGATAGGTGCCCTCTCTCCTCTTCAGGAAGCCCCCTTGCCCTTATTTTGCTTGCTTTCTGAAACGACAAGGAAAACAACACATAGAAAGAGAGGAAATGGAATGAACCAATAGGCAGTGGAGCTCTTCAATTTCTTTCCCTATCTCTTTTCTTCTTTTTTCATTCTTCATTCAACAAGGAAAAGAAGCTTCCTTTTGTGTGTTTTTGAGATTTAAAGGAGAACAAGAGAAGAGAAGGGAGAGAGAAAGGAGAGAGGAGAGATCAACAGGAATGCAACTCTAAATGGAAGAGCAATGAAAAGAATAGAAGAGAAATGAGGACAGGCGAAATGCAAAAATCAGGCAAAGAGAAGATGGTGCTCGTTTTCATCTTTCCTCTGGTTCTTATTTTTCTCTTCTCTTGTTCATTTCCGTTAGAAAAAACAAAAGGAATAACAATGAACATGTAAGCAAACCCAGCTGATGCTCATGATTTTTTCCTTTCTCCCTCTCTCTCTCTCTCCATATATGGGCGATGGAACGGGTGTCCTTGTTGGGCCGTTTCCTGCATCTTCAAGTGAGGAACCTAAGTGTTTTCTTTTGTTCGTTTGAAGACACAGAAAGCGATTAAAAGGGACGTCCATTTTGGATTGGCAGCCAACCCAGCTGATGCTCATGATTTTCTCTCTCTCTCTCTCTCTCTATATATGGGCGATGGAATGGGTGTCCTTTTTGATCGTTTTCTGCATCTTCAAGCGAGGAAAAGGGACACCCCACAAGAAAGCACTTAGGGTGTCCCTTTTGCTCGTTTGAAGACACAGAAAGCGATTAAAAGGGACGTCCATTTTGGATTGGCAGCCAACCCAGCTGATGCTCATGATTCTTTCCTCTCTCTCTCTCTCTCTCTCTCTCTCTCTCTGCCTCTATGGGCGATGGACTGGGTGGTCCTTTTTGATCGTTTCCCCCTCTGCATCTTCAGCGAGGAAAAGGGGACCCCCCACCAGAAAGCAAACTTAGGGGGCCCTTTTGCTCGTTTGAGACACTGAAAGCGATTAACAGGACGTCCATTTTGGATTGGCGCCACCCAAGCTGGATATGCTCATGATCTCTCTCTCTCTCTCTGTCTCTCTCTCTCTTCCCTCCCTCTCTCTCTCTCCCTCTATAGGGCGATGGAAACAGTTGTCCTTTTAGAAAATATGGGCGATGGAACAGGTGTCCTTTCAGATCGTTTTCTGCATCTTCAAGCGAAGAAAAGGGACACCACAAGAAAACACTTAGGGTGTCCCTTTTGCTCGTTTGAAGACACAGCAAGCGATTAAAAGGGGCGCCCATTTTGGATTGGCAGCAAACCCAGCTGATGCTCATGATTTATCTCTCTCCCCATATATGGGCGATGGAACGGGTGTCCTTTTTGGATCGTTTTCTGCATCTTCAAGCGAAGAAAAGGGCCACCACAAGAAAACACTTAGTAAGGGTGCCCCTTTTGCTCGTTTCAAGACACAGAAAGCGATTAAAAGGGACGCCCATTTTGGATCGACAGCAAACCCAGCTGATGCTCATGATTTATCTCTGTCTATATATGGGCGATGGAACGGGTGTCCTTCCTGATCGTTTTCTGCATCTTCAAGGGAGAAGGAAGGGCACCGCCCAAGAAGGAAAAGTAACATCAGATATAGGGAGGGAAAATGAAGAGCTCCTCTCTTTACTTAGTCATTCCCTTTCCTCTCTTCTTATCTGTTGTTTTCTTCGCTTCAAAATGCAAAATAAGGGAAAAGAGATTTCCTGAAGAGGAGGGAGGGCACCTATTGAAGAGCTCCTGTCTTTACTTAGTCATTCCCTTTCCTCTCTTATCCGTTGTTTTATTCGCTTCAAAAAGCAAAATAAGCGAAAAGAGATTTCCTGAAGAGGAGGGAGGGCACCTATCTGTAAAGAGCAATCGTTTAGAGGGGAACAGGAGAAGAGGAGCGAGAGAGAAGGACAGAGGAGAGATACAGGGAATCAAATTTCAATAGAACAGCAAAGAAAAGAATAGAAGAGAGATGAATAGAGAAGAGGGAGAGACAAAACAAGGCGCAGAGAAGATGGCACTCTTCTTTATCTATCCTCCCTCCCTTATCTCTCCCTTCCCTCTTTCTTTTCCAGATAAGAACAACTAAAGAGGAATAATTATGAAAAGGAGAAGAGTAAGGAAAGGAGCAGAAGAGATGGGCCGAGAAGAGGGATATGATGAAGTACGGCAAGGTCCACGCGCAACGTCTGCTTACCCTGCCACTGTTTTATCCTGCAAGTTTCTTTCTTGTTGTTCATCAGTCAAAAATTAACAGAAAGAGAGAAGGGAAAGGGAAGTGAGAGAGGCGAGAGAACAAGGATGCCATTTTTCTGGAAGGGTACTAGAAAGAAGAGAAGAGACAGGAAGCAAGGAGACGGGGTGACAAAATAAAGCGCAAAGCTCTATCATCATTGTCATCACACTCTTCATCTGCATGAGTCCTTTCATTGTACTGGCATAACTTCACTGCATCAATTGCATAA